CCAGCCTGCTCCGCTTGCGTGGCCGTGACGCCGCGGACCCGGGCTCACGCGGGTCTTCGGGGAGGAGGACTGGATACTGTCTTGGCGCTGTCGCTGGACAGTCTTCCTTCCGGAAGGGAGCGGGCGTCTCAGTGACGGGGGCTCGTGCCGCGCCGAGGGGCCGGCCAGGCGCGGCGGCCCGCACCCGTGATCGCGGCGCGCTGCGAGGCCGAGGCGGGGTGACCGCAAGCTCGGTCCAGTTTGGGCAGTTTATCGAGAGCCTGTTTAAAAACAACAGCAACAACAACAACAAAAACGAGATGTAGCTCAGGGCAGAGGTCCTGGGTTCAGGCCCCCATGGGAGGAGTGGGAGAGGATGAGGGGCAGAAGACAAGTGTAGTTCTTAAGAACTGACCTTACCTTCGTTCTCGTGGAAAGTCTGTGGATGCACAAGTCAGTGTGAAGATTCCTGTTGTAAGATGCGTTCCCCGAGGACACTGTCTCTTTGGGAAAGTGACTTGACCTCCCCGAGTCAGCCTCCACTGCTTTGTAGGGGCGTAAAATAATAATAATAATAATAATAATAATAATAATAATAATAATAATAATAATAATAATAATAAATAATGATCTAGAAGCAGACCGGACACGGATAGGGAAGTGGCCGCGCTGGCGCTTTGGCCTGGAGAAGGTAGCAATCCAGTTGCTTCTACCCCTAGACTCCCAGCGCTTGGGGAGAAAGCAGTCACTGGACCCAAAAGAAGCCTCGAGAGGGCTGCTCTTGTTGCGGAAGAGACTTGCAGTGTAGGGACTTGGACGGGCGGAAGCGGTCCTCTCTAGTCTGACAAAGCATAAGGTCAGGAAATTTGTAGAATGGAACAGACTGGAGACAGAACCAAGGTTGTTGGAAGGAATACATTTAAAAGTCTACTGATGGCTTTAAAGAGGTTCCTGGCAATAATTCCTGTGGACCGGTAGACACAGTGCCTACCATTTTCTGGAACAACTGTGTCAGTGTCCAAAGTGGGGCCCTGACCCTCAATGAGCCCCTTTCCTGGCATTGTCAAAGCCTTGACATGTAACCATAAAACGTGTCATTCTCTGGCGGACTCCAGATCCTGGGCTTTCATCACAATCTTGTTTTTTGTTCTGTGCCAAAACTGGGCCTAACAAATGGCTTCTGTGGCCGGGCATGGTGGCGCAGGCCTGTAATCCCAGCACTCAGGAGGGTGAGGCAGGAGGATCATTGCAAGTTTGAGACCAACCTGGGCTACAAAGTGAGCTCAAGGCCAGGCTCAACTGCAGAGCAAGACCCTGTCTCAAAAAAAAAAAAAAAAAAAAAAAAAAAAAGGCTGCTGTGTAGAACAAGGTGCGCTCACTTTTCTGTGTTCCCTCTGCGTAGTATAGATAGGTGCTGTCCATGGGACTTTGTATGATGATGGAAGTACCCTCATCCATGCTGCCCTGGGCATCTGCAGGCCACGTGTGACTGTAACGCAAAATGAGGCCTGTGGGACTGAGGAACTGAGCTTTTACATTTTATTTAATGTCAATTAAATGTAATAGCCCCATGTGGCTGGTGATTCTTATACAGTGCAAGAGTAGCCTTATTAGAAGAATAAAGGCCATCAAACAGTAGTGGAGAACAATGTGGAATTCGTATCCTCACCAGGAGAGAGCCATGTTTCTCTGGGCCTCTCCACACAAATTGAAAGGGTGGAAAAGAGGAAGTATGCCAAGTGAGGCCCAATTCAGAGTTCAGCTCTCTGAGTGGCAGGTGGCTTTGCAGTTGATCACCTTCTCTTACAATGGCTCAGGTTTTACATCACTAGCGTGGGTGAGGCCTGTTTTCCAGCATGTCCGGGATGGATGCCATGATTCCTGCAGGCAGAGTTGCTGTGTGCTTCTGTTGACGAGCTGTGAGGCCTCTTTCCTTTACCAGCTATTTTCACACTCCACACCCCCCCACATCTAATAGCTGTGTGACCTTGGTAAGTCGTTCCACCTCGCTTTGCCTCTTTTCTCATTGATAAAGTGTGTACTTTTTTCACAGAGTTTTTATAATGACTAAATGAGTTAATCCCTGAAAAACACTTAAAACAGTATTTTGGAAGTAGGGAGGTAGAGGTCTTAAACATTTATTAAGTTTATTTCTAGTTGCTTTTTATATTTGGTACTCCTATAAGTGGAATTGGTTTCTTTTAATTTCTTTGAATTTTAATTTCTTTCCCATTTTAATTTCTAATTGTTTGCTGTTAGTATATAAGAATACAATTGAGCCAGGCGTGGTGGTGCACACCTGTAATCCCAGCACTTGGGAGGCTGAGGCAGGAGGATCTTTGCAAGTTTGAGACCAGCATGGGCTACAAAGTGAGCTCAAGGCCACCCTGAGCTGCATAGCAACACGCTGTCTCAAAAAGACCAAAAAAAAACAAAGAATACAATTGATTTTTAAAATTTTTACTTTGTAACCTGAATCTTTGTCCAAGTTATTAATTCTCATTGTTGCTTTAGATTTCCCTGGGGTTTTCTGGGGAAGCATCTTCTTTTCTGCAGATGGGGACAGTGTTGTTCTTCCCTTTTCCTTTCCATTGTTGCAGTGTCTAAAATGACCAGATTGCACAGAAGTGCTGAACGTGGGCATCCCAGCCTTTTTCTCAAGTGAAGGGGTAACACTCAGTCTCTCTCCGCTGTGATGTTACCTGTAGACGTGAGTGCACACCCTTTACCAGGGTGTCAGGGTAGAGAGGGTCCTCCTCCCAGTTGCTTATGTGCTCTATTTTCCTAGTCCTGAGGAGATGTGGAGGTGGTCACGGGGTCCGTGAGTACAGTGAAGGGTGTTGGCTGGGTTCTGACTGCTGAAATAGCTTGGTATCCCTAGGGTGTCTGCAGGGTCTGGTGTCTGATCCTTTCTGTGCTGCTGAGTTTGGCTGAGTAATATTTATCAGAGGGTTTTGGTATCTATAGTTATGAGGAATACTGGTCTGTAGTTTGTTTTTGTAAGGTCCCGTTTATGGTGGGGTTACGATGCCCTCAAAAGTTGTTACTTTATTTTCTTAAAAAGTATAAGATTGCTTTTTGGGGGGAATATTTGATGAAAACAGTCTGAGTCTGGAATTTTGTCTTGAGAATGTTCTTTTCTAGCAAATCCAATTTTGTTAGTAGACACTGGGCTGTTGGTTTATTCCTTTAGGGGTCATCTTTTATTTTCTTTTTTCTTTTCCTTTTTGGTTTTTTGAGACAGGGTTTCTCTGTGTCGTTCAGGTTGGCCTTGAACTCACTATGTAGTCCACGCTGACCTCCAACTCCTGGCAGTACTACTGCCTCAGCCTCCCAGGTGCTGGGATTACAGCCACGGGCTACCACGTGTGGCAGTTGGCTTTTCTTGTGTTTATTTGGTAAATTGCATCTTTCAAGATGTGTGTCCATTTCATGTAAATTGTTGAGTTTGTCCCAGGTTGTAAATAAAGAGCAAAATAAATGGTAGATAATAGGAAGAGAGATCTTTCCCAAATGGGAAGGGGATCAGAGGGTGGAAGGAGGGGAGCGGAGGGAAATGGGCTGAGAAAAGAGGTTAAGATGCGTGGTTTACAGGCATCAGCTCCACGTAATGTAGACATTACGTACTGCCAACACTTACTAATAAAAATTTTTACTAGTTGTTGACTTTGTAAGAGCACAGCATGAGAAGAATGCGGAGAGTGTTCGGTGTGCTTCTCGTTCACCTCTTCTGAGACTGCGCATGCTTCCTGCTGAGAGCAGCACTGTTGGACGCCGTGCTGCGGAACGGCAGGCGTGATGACAGCGTTCCCTCCCTAGAGAGCCAAGGGTGTGCACAGTGGGTGGCACCCAGCAGGGGCGTCTAGGGGGACGGACTCTGTCTTCTCCTGCTGTGCTCACCTGTGCTGGCTTTGCGGTGATTCTCTAAACAGTACGTAGACATTTCTGTCTCCTGCTATAGATCCATTGCGTACTGAGCAGTGGGGTGAGCTGTGTGGATTTCCTGTACAGAGCTCCCGGGATGGGCCCTGTGGGAGTGCTGAAGGCAGAGGCCGGTCCTCTCCTGGCAGGCAGGGTCAGCCTCTTCCTCACCTTACCAGAACACGCACACTGCCAAGAGCAGCGTGAGTGTGACCCTGACCCTGGGCTGGCACTGCTGTTCTGCTGCCATCTGTGCCCACCCACAGAGCACTGCTGCCACTCCACGTGGAGGTGTTGCACGATTCAAGTCAGTTCTGACAGTGGCCACGGACGGCCATCGCACAAGTTAAGTGCCGAATCCTGAAAAACTGTCTCCAGCTCAGATGCAGCGGCCAGGAGCAGGTCCCAGGGGTCCATGGTTCCGTTGCACGTTACTGGTGTGCGGCAAAGCATACCGCAAAGGCTGCCGGCAGCAGCCAGGTGGAGGGGCGCTGAGGTGAGGGCCAGGGGTCTCGGGTACCTCTGCGCAGCGTGTGTTCAGCAGCCCCAGGGTTTTTGCAGAGGCCTTGTCACGTGGACACCGTCAGTCCTGGGCTCAGTCTGCAGCCCTGTCCCTCGCTGGAAGACAGGGAAGTGAAAATTCCAGACTTCCTGCCCTGCTCTTGCTGGTGGCTGGCCCCATCCAAAAGCTGTGCAGCGACCGCCGCAAGTCACCTTATTAAAGCCAAAGTCTCTCCTGTCACTCAGGAGATCCAAGGGCCTTGGTGGCTGTGGGTCAGACACTTCTATCACTCCCATCTCTCAGGAAATTACAAAGGTTTGTGAGCTTGCTGTGAGGAACTGGGGGCAGAGACCAGGTAGATATTGCTTGTTTCCCAGGGTGACAGCCGCCACCGCTGCTGTGGGTCCAACACGAGGCCTTGCTTGTCCTCAGCCACCTCTCAAGTGAGGAGACTGAGGCAGCAGGGGCGAGACCCTCCCTGGGTCACCCTGACATAACCAGCAGAGGAGGGAGTTTGTGTCCAGTGCCTGGGTGCTTCGCCACTGCGCTCCACGTTTAATATTTTCATGTTGCAGTTGATGCAGTATGGACCGCACAAGATAACACAGTAACATTTGAGCAGATGGGCATTTGTACGTTTAAGAAGTTTTGATTTGAGGTTTAGATCGCCTTTAATATTTTCATTGAGCAGATTCTTGCTATTTCCCCAGAGATATATCTAGTGCTGCTGGAGATGGAATAATTTAAATTCTCCGTACACAGAACCTGCCTAGCACACACCCCGTAATTCCAGTGCTCAGGAGCCTGAGGCAGGAAGATTACCACAAGCTTAAGGCCAACCTGGGCTACTTACGGAGTTCTAGGCCAGCCTCAACTACAAAGCAAGACCCTGTTTCAAAAAATAAACACAAAAGCAGATCTTGCCCCAAGTCCTAAATATACGGATGGGTACCAGAGGGTAATATGTGCCTCGGGGTGGAGAAAGTTGGATTCCTCAGATGTGTTGGCCTAGGACATATGCCCAGAGTCTAGCGAGTGCCGGACACCTTCCTACAGCTTCAGTCTGATGCCCAAGTTCAGCCCAAGTGCCTTATTTTGCCCATCTGGCTTTTGTTAGGCGCCATGATCCCTGTGAGGCTTTTCTCTGTGAGACCGTGGACCATGTTGGAGGGAGTGAAACGAGGGACTGCACCCCCGCGGGCTGGCCTCAAGCCCGGCAAGCCCCTTCCACAGCAGGCTCCGCCCAGGCCCCTCTCGATGGGCTGCGTGGACTGCGCCAAGCATCGGGAGCCCCCCGGGAAGAAGCCACTGTCTGAGAAGAAACTGGTAAGCTTCTCAGCCCGGAGAGCCCCTCAGGCTCCCGCTTGGGAAGCAGCTGCACGCTGTGTGGAGGCCTTCGGTGTATCTGCTCTTTGCTTATCCCAGCAGCATCACTCAAGGGACACAGGGAGCTTCTTACCGGGGGCCTTCCTGCCGTGGCCCACAGCAGCCAGGGAGGGCTGGGCAGCGCTGTGCTCCTGGGCCGGGCTGCGGCAGGGCTGCTCGCTTGTCATTAACCTGCGTGGGGGACGTCACTTCGCGTTTCCTTAGTGTACGCGCACCGTGCCTCATTCAGAACCGCTGGCTGGGGGCGGGGTAGACCTCTCATGTTGCAGCCTTACAAGTTTTCTTGTGTTCACCAGAACCTTCTCTTTAGAACATGCGTGGTCACTGACTAAATGCAAGAAAATACACGTCTACCACTCATTTTTAATTTCCCCCAGAGGGCCCAGGTGAATGTTGCGAGGGCAAACAGAACCTGGGTTGGAAATGCACTGCGGCAGCCGGCAGGGAGACCCGTGGTGTCTCGTCTCTGGGAGAGTGGTCTGGCGTTGTTTTATTTCCATGCAGTGCTTACCACGTGTGCTTTTGCCATCAAGTGGATCTGGTTTCGTTGGGGCATAGTGACATCACACACTGAAATTTTGAAGTGGTAGTTTGTGGTTTTTCCATGTGGTGGTGCCAAAGAATCCTAAAATATTCTTGTATTTTCTTTTGCAAACGCTGTTATGACGATCGGATGGATATACACATCTCCCTCGTCCTGACGGGCTGTGGGGCTGTACACCCACACAGACCTGCGCGCTGCGGCGTCTCCACAGATGCTGTGCGGCTGCTCTGCAGCTGGGCTCATGTGTTGAGAGTTAACCTAGTCAGTGGCTATTCTGATATTTAGCTGGTTTAGGGGCCTGAGGAGAAGCCTTGCCTCAAAGGGACGTTGTGCTTCCCTGTGTGGTATACATACAGGCCCTCGTGTAGGCGGGACACGGAAAGGCTCCTTCTCTGTAGCTAAACGCTTGGTGCTTGTCCAAGAAGGGCTGTACCTCTTCTTGTTACATTCTGCTGAACTAGAATTTCCCAAAGCAAAGACCTATTGTTACAGGTACGTGTTTGAGAGAAGCTAGCAATTTACTTTATTCAAAGACGGCACTCAGAGGCTGAGGCAGGAGGAACATTGCAAGTTCAAGAGCAGCCTGGGCTACAAAGTGAGCTCAAGGTCAGCCTGAACTGCAGAGCAAGACCCTGTCTCAAAAAGACAAAAGAAAAGGGGCTGGGGATTTAGCTCAGCGGCAAAAGCGCCTGCCTGGCAAGGTCGTGAGTTCGGTTCCCCGTACCGGTGAAAAACCAAAAAAAAAAAAAAAAAAAGACAAAAGAAAAAAAAAAGGTCTCCTTGAATAGCCTTTGTTCTGTTTTGTTTTTACTTTTTTATTAGCACACGCTTGTGGTGTGTAATGGTTACATTTGTTGTGGGAAGTTGGCACAAGGAGGTAGAGCATCTTAACTGAAGTGTGCTTTCCCTGCTGTCCGTCTTTACATCTGCATTGATTCACTGCAGCTTGCAAATTCTTGTGACTGTGGGAACAGATTTTTACCTTTGGATTTGAGGAGCGATGAGTAATTATCTACCTTAATCCGTTAAGGCTAAGGCATGCCTTTTCAGGCTCCTTGGAAGGGTTTTGCAGCGTTGCTAACGTGTGCCCTGTGTTCTTTGTAGAAAAAATACTTCGTGGACCATCGGAGAGTGCTTGTCCGTGGAGGAAGCGGAGGCTCGGGCATGAGCTGCTTCCACAGCGAGCCCCGAAAGGAGTTCGGGGGCCCCGATGGCGGGGACGGTGGCAGCGGCGGCCACGTCATCCTGAGAGGCACGTGGCCTGGGAGCGCTGGGGGAGGTCCCCAGACATCTCTGCCTTCTTAGCCTATGTCCTTTGGCCTTAGAAACTGGAATGTGTACATAACATTTTTATAAATTATGTGAAGAGCCAGGTGCAGTGGCACAAGCCTGTAATCCTAGCACTCGGGAGACTGAGGCGGGAGGATCATTGTGAGTTCAAGGCCAGCCTGGGCTGCGGAGTAAACTCAAAGCCAGCCTGACCTGCATAGTAAGACCCTGTCTCAAAAAGACAAAAAATACATTATGTGAAGACAAAGCAATTTTGAGTGGGCTTTTGGAGTTTTTTTTTTTTTTTTTTTTTTTTTTTTTTTTTGTTTTTTTTTGGTTTTTCTCTGGTACCGGGAACCGAGCTCACGACCTTGCGCTTGCCAGGCAGGCGCTTTTGCCGCTGAGCTAAATCCCCAGCCCCTTGGAGTTTTTTTTAATGTCAGGAACACAAAGACAGTTTCCTTCACAATCTAACGTGATAATACATGTCAAAAGATAAAACCTGTGTTAGTGTCTCGGTAAGTGCTGAACAGAGCACTGCCTGTGTTCAGCACACGTTTAGCGTAAACGTTTAGTTTAGTAGGCCAGGAGCAGAAACATTCGCAGAAAATAAAGGATAGCTTTTTTTTTAGTAGATGATTGCATTATGATTAACTTCAGTGTTTTTGAGAAATGGCAGTGTTTTTGAAGGAAAATAGGAACTCAGCTTTTTGAAAATCATGTTGCTAGTCAGTAACCTCTGCTCCAGTTTCGTTCTGCGCATCCACTCTCTTGTCTTGTTTTTGTGTTGGAGGGGGAGGTTTTGTGAGGACTGAATCAAAGTCCTTGGTACTGAGCTATATGGCCCGGCCTTTTTGTTTGTTTGTTTTGAGACAGGGGCTCCCTAAGTTGCCCAGGCTGAACCTAAGCCTTCAGTCTTCCTGCCTCAGCCTCCCAGAGTGCTGGGATTACAGCCATGTGCCACTACACTCAGCTTTCTAAGGTTCTTACACTGGACAAAGGAATACTAACCGTGGTGCTGATTCCGTCTTCACACAAAGGTTCTTGCTCTTACTCTAGTTGATCAGCAGGTCAAGTCCCTGTCGTCAGTCCTGTCCCAATATCAGGGCTTCAGTGGAGAAGATGGTGGCAGGAAAAGCTGCTCCGGACGAGGTGGCGCTGTCCTGTACATCCGGGTAGGCCGAAGCGCCTGGAGCTGGTGGAGCGGAGAGTGGTTCGGTCCCGTGGAGGGAAACCCTGTGCAGGGGCCTTCACGCTGGTGCTATACCGCCTGTGTCTCTGACCAGTAGATTGTGATGGGGTTGCCTTGGAAGAAGCATACCTGCCCCCACCTCTGGCCAAGGCCCGGTGCCCTGGGTCCCTAGGAGGTGTCCCCTGCATGAGCTGGCCACATGGAGTTTGAAGGGTGTATGCCTAGCCCCGTAAAACCAAGCCCTTGCGAGCCCGGATCCTCTCTTTGTGCTTGGCGGCCATGAAGGGAGGGCTTGGCGGGCCCTCTCCCTCCTCCCCTTCACTTACTGTAGAACGTAACTGGGACAGTGTGCTGCCTTCCAGGTTCCTGTGGGCACCTTGGTGAAGGAAGGAGGTGAAATCGTGGCCGACCTCAGCTGCCCAGGTGACGAGTACATTGCTGCCCTGGGTGGCGCAGGAGGAAAAGGCAACCGCTTTTTCCTGGCCAATGACAACCGTGCCCCCGTGACTTGCACCCCGGGAGAGCCAGGGCAAGAGCGTGTTCTCCACCTGGAGCTCAAGACAATGGCCCACGCTGGGATGGTAGGTCGCCTATGGTGGGACATGCTCCCGGCCTGAAAAGCGTAGCAGCTTCACAGCCCAGCCTGTGCCGCCAGCATGCTGCCGCTGAGGGAGCTTGCGTTGACCCCAGCCCGCACCCCCGGCTCGGCCATCCCCAGGCTGCAGCAGCGAAGTCCCCTGTGGGGTCAGCAGCCTCCTCTGCTTTTTCTTCCAGGTCGGGTTCCCCAACGCTGGGAAGTCCTCACTCCTCCGAGCCATTTCGAACGCAAAGCCTGCCGTGGCTGCCTACCCGTTCACCACCCTGAACCCCCATGTGGGGATTGTTCACTATGCCGGCCACGAGCAGCTAGCAGGTGGGTTTAGCCAAGCCAGGGATGCGGGAGGATGATTGTATAACTCCTAAATTTAGCTTCCTGTTTTAATTGTTGCATTGTTTTTCCTAATTGGGAGAGTTTTAGTGAGTCTGTTCTGTATCAGAATTAGGATCCCACCCGTTTGGAAATGTGAATTTAAATTTCCAGCCTGAGGAGGGGTTCCTTCTCACTGCATTCCTGTTCATTTTCTCTCGTCCGCAGGCACTCAGCGGCATCAGTCATGTAGACAACACGTGACTTTAAAAGCTTTCCTTGTACTGTTTTGAGAGAAGAAAACTTTCTTTCCAGCATATAATGTACCCATTAAAAATAGTAAGCCTGCTGGCAAGGTTATTTGTATAGCACTTTACGGTTGCGAAGTACTCTATAATAATTTCTATCAGTAATCAAATTATTAATAGAGTGCAGGAACCATTTTCCCTTTTTTGAATCATGTTTAAAGCCAGGAAGACAGGAATATGTAGAGTATTCCTCATTCAGCTGAAGCGTCTTCATGCCAGTCACCCAAATATTTCAGAGCATTTGCAAACCCGGAGGCTGAAGTGCCTCCCTGTCAATTGGCCTGCTGAGTCACTAGGGTAAATGATGGCTTTGGTTTTGGGTGTTTCTTGAAAAGAAAATCTTAGAAGGTGCGGAGTCTGGCCCCAGGGCGGGTCCAGGTTTCCCCTCCTGGCCCCGAGGTTCAACACTGTGGTGTGCTGGGCAGCCGTGACCTGTGCTTCTGTCTCCTTAGTGGCAGACATCCCGGGGATCATCCAGGGCGCCCACCGGAACAGGGGCCTGGGGCTCAGCTTCCTCCGGCACATCGAGCGCTGCCGCTTCCTCTTGTTTGTGGTGGACCTTTCACTGCCGGAGCCATGGACTCAGTTTGAACATTTAAAATACGAATTAGAGAAATACGAAGAAGGCCTGTCTGAGAGACCTCACACAGTCATTGGAAATAAGATTGATCTGCCGCAGGCCAGAGCCAACCTGGCCCAGCTCCAGGCCCGCCTGGGACAGGAGGTCATAGCCCTGTCGGCACTGACGGGGGAGAACCTGGAGCAGCTGCTGCTTCACTTGAAAGTGCTCTATGACGCCTATGTGGAGGCGGAGCGGGGGCAGGGCCGCCAGCCGCTCAGGTGGTAGTGTGGCCGGCAGCGCCAGCCCCAAGGCAGGAGGCTGCGGGGGGAGGCTGCTGTGCAGCGCACCGTGTAGTGAAACATGGGTGCCCTCGACTGCATAAGAGAACACACTTGTGAATCTTTGAGAGTTTGTGCTTCTGTCTTCCCTGCCAACTTGGGGTTCCTCCACTAAGGTGCCCCCTCCAACCTAGGACTCCATGGGTGGCGGAACACTCTGTGCCACCTGACACCAGCTGCTCCCCAGAGCCTTGCACACCCGTCAGCCCCGAGGACTGATTTTCTGAGGTTGACTCATTTGTGCTAATTAACTCCCCTAATTAGGAGGAGGCCACGCTGCTGGCTGCTGCTGCCTGCGCTGCTGCCGTGCGCGCACTGCTGGGTGAGCTCTGCCCGCAGCACAGCCAGCGCCCAGCTCCCGTGCAGGTCGGCGCGGTGACAAGGGGCTCCCTCTGCCTATGCCCTGACTGCGCACAGCGGAGCGGCGGTGGTCTCTGCTGCACTAGCGGCATCACGGCGTTGGGGTGCAGCTGCCAGCCGTCTGAGGGGCACGGTGTGGGACAGCTCCTTCCCTGTCCCTCCCAGAACACGGCGCTCTGCTCTGTGGGCGCCGAATGCCAGGGCAGACTCAGCTTCACGACTGAATGCACTCAATATCCGACCCAGGCGTGCGTGGGTTCTGGCTCGACTTCAGAATGCACAAGTGAGCTGTGAACTAGCGGCGAGGTGAGCTGTGAATTGCCATCAGTGCCCCCGGTAGGTGGCCGCAGCCCTGCAGGGCAGAGCAGGAGTGACTTCCGCTCAGCTCTGCTTGCTGGAGACCCTTGCCCTTGCCCAGGTGGCCACCACGACCTAGCAGGGACTAACGCCAGCCACCTTCCACAGCTCAGCTGTGGCCAGGAGGGTCATCGTTGCTCCTGTGGGCACTGTGCCCTGGGAAGAGACTTCCTTTCCATGGTGAGGCCGGGTCTTTCTCCCCGACTCCTCACGACCGGACTGCCTGCCCTGCCTCCCCCAAGGAGCCCAGTGCCTCCGCCAGCTTCCGAGTGCCCTTCAGAAGTGCAGTGGCGGGGACAGAGGGAAGTAGAGAAGGCACCGGCCACAGGGTTATTCCCAGGGGTCCCAGGCAGGTGATGCTGCTGGGCACGCCCAGGCCGGACGTCCTTTCTGTGTGTGGGCTTCGACTTCACATAACAAGCCAGCACTTCAGCTCTCCGGAGCAATTCAGTTTTGATCTAACATCAAATCTGCAACCAGAACACGCGGTCCTTTCACCAGAGGCTTTATTTTAATGTCTTATAATTTCAAAGGTCCTCATGTCCTCGAAGCCAGCAATGGGTCTTGCATCTGTTTGCTTTCTCTTTCAGGTCACCATAAAGGGTTTTGCAGAGTCAGGCCAGTCCTGAGAGCATTAATTATCCGTGGCTTTCATCTTGTGCTGGGCCCTGTGCAGTCTGGGGAGGGGCGCCCTCACCCATCCTGCCCGGGCCTCGGAGACCTTGGCGGAGGCTAATCCTGGGCGTGGAGGTTGTGTCCCGGGACCCGGCTGTCCTGTGCTGTGCTTTGGCTTCGTGGGCAGACACGTCGCCGGTGGTGCCCAGGCTCCCCACCCCGTGGGTCACCAGGCTGCACGGCTGCTTTCCCCCTGATGCCCTGGCCTGGAGGAAGGCAGCACTGGACTCGTCCTACTCACAAAGTTACCCACTCCTGTCGGGTTTTATGGACAGGCTTTGCCAGTCTTGTTTTCAGGTTGAGCTCTAATTCATACACGATAAAGTTATGCTTAAAGTGTTGTGGGGAGCATGTCAGCGGCCTGAGGGTTGTGTGGCTACTCCACTTCCAGAATGTCTTCACCCCCAAAAGACACCTGTCCCCCTTCTTCTCGCCTCAGGCTCTGTCGTCAGTTTCTGCTCACTTTCTGCCGAGGCCTCGGGCGTGCATCCCGCACCCCTGAGGCACCACTGTGCTGTGAGTCAGGAGAGGGCCGCAGGAGCACTGTGGGGACAGAGGCCTTCGCAGGCAGGGCTTCTGTCAGGTGCTCACTGTACCCCAGAAGCCCTGGAGAACCTGACCCCAGAAGGTACAACAGATACTTGTGGAATGAACAGGTGAACAGTAGCTGGCGCTAGGTGCGTTTGGGTGAGTGGGGCTAGGTGACCCACCAGTGGCATTGCCCTCACACATACAATGCGCGCACACACACACAAAACTCGTGCACGCCCGAGCCATTTCCGCAAGAGCTAACGTGTTTCTAGAACCACTTGGCTGCGCTAGGCTGTGTGGAGACATTGCTGGCAGCCTCACGGCAGCCCTCCAGTGCTGTGGCTCGGGCTTCTGTCTGGAGCGTGTGTCTGCTCTGTTTCCTAGTTTACTGTGTGCCTCTCTGTGTCCCCTGTCTTCCAATATCTGTCCGCACCGACCGGTGCCGTTTCCTGGATGCACCACCAACCCCCTTCCCTTGGTTTCTTTTTTTTTTTCTTTTGGTACCAGGAGTTGAACTCTGGACCTTGCGCTGGCCAGGCAGGCGCTTGTGTCGCTGAGCTATATGCCTAGCCTGCCTTTGTTTCCTTCCAGGTCCTGGGCCCACTGCAGAGCCGGCTGTGGCCGGATGCCCCCCACCCAATGAGTCCTGTCCCGTGGGGTCTGGCCTACCCATACTAAGCGGCTCCTTCCTCTCCGTTGTCGTGCTCATGAGGGTGGACCCCTAAGCCTTGGGATTCAAAAGGCTCCTAAATGTCCCAGTTTCCAGCCCGTGCTCCTCCCTTTGGCCTGGCCCTCTCATTCCTAAGCTCCCCGTCTACCTGCTCCAGGGGTCTAGCCTACAGCTCCCTTGCGGGTGCGTGAGGACGCACCCCACTCAGGCTCGGCTCTCCTGTCAGTGTGTGTAGAGGTCGCTGCCTGCTGGGGTCCTTCCCTCGCCCTTAGCAAATGCAAGCCAAGCGGGTGGGGCCGGTTGTGATGGCAGACGGCACAGGTCCCCGGCTGCTTGTGGGAAGTGGTGTCTGCCGCCCAGCCGCCCACATGGGCTGCTGTCGCCTGCCCTGCCAGCAGGCAGCCCAGCTAGACTTCCAGGCCTCTGCTCCCCCTGCTGTCCTGGCCCATGGCGTCCGGCGCACGGCCTGGCCTGGGCTGGCCTCTCAGAGACACCTGAGGTCCTCGTGGGGCATCCGGCGTGAAACCACAGAAACATTCTCCTGGGCTGGAGGTGAGGAGGCCGGCACCAAGGTGTCAAGGCACCATGCTCCTTCTCGGGGCTCTGGGAAAAGGCCCTTCCTGCCTCCGCTGGCTCCCAGTGGCTTTGGTCGTGGCCATTTCACTCTGAGCCCTGCATGCACCTTCCCATGGCCTCCGTGTGTCCCTCTGTCTTTAAGGACGCCAGTCCTGGGCCTTAGGGCCCACTTTAGGATGTGGGCCCCGTATGCCTTCCTCTTGAGATCCTTAAGTGACTGCAGTACAAAGCCTTCTTCCCAAACAAGGCTGAGTCCTGAACTTACATGTGAGCGTGGAGCTGGGGCTATTCCCGGCCAGGACCCCGTGCCTTGCAGCGGGTGCTGCGCTCACCTTGTCGGGCACAGCGCGCTGGGCTGGGTGTCCATTCGTCTGCACGTCCACACATCTCAGCACCCCCTACCACCCGCACTTGGCCCCCGCCCAGGTCGTCTCGGTGGAGCAGCAGGTCCCCGCTGCCTGGGCCCAGGGCCTGTGTGTGTGTGGATCCCTCTGCCCGCACAGACTGCCAAGTGCTCAAGGCACTGCCTGCCTGCTCCTGCTCCCCTGCCCCCTGGTCCCTGGCACACTGACGGCCTGTGGTTGCTGATGCTTGGCACCCAGTGAAATCTCCCAAGTTGGGAACAGAGGCCGCCCACTGGACCGCACAGCGCGTGCCACCACTCACCCACACGTGGTCCCGCGCAGAGCCCTGGGAGGAGGCCCCGCTGGTGCTGTGCTCGAGGCCCCGGGCAGCGCCAGCAGCAGGGTTGGGGCAGGAAGGGCGTGCACCGAGGAAGCCTGTTTTAATTACTCTCCTCCTGCTGGTACTTTGTGCTAAGGGCTTTGAGGGGGCAGGGGGCAGGGGCCGTGCAGGGGATGCTGCCCACAAGAGAAGGGTGAGCTCAGTGTGTGCTGGGCGCTGCCAGGAGCCAGGTGGAGTAGGAGGCGGGCCCCCGAGGACGCCCACTGCCCCCACTGCGCTGCGAGAAGAGGCAAGGCTGGAGCTGGAGGTGGGCAGGGGATTGTGGCCAGACAAAGGCAGTGTTAGGAGGGGTCCTCAGAGGGGTGCCCCAGTGTACATATGGGGAAGCAGTCTTGCTGAGCTGGGGGCGTAGCACAGTGGCAAAGCACTGCCAGTGTGCAAGAGGCCCTGGGCTCCATCTGTAGCAAAAAGAAAAAAGTTAAAGAAAAAACCGTTCAGTGTTCAGTGAGCATCAGGTCCTTTTTTTCGAGACATGGCCTCAGTATGTAGTTCAGGCTGGCCTTGAACTCACTTTGTGGCCCCAGCCGGCCTCAAACTTTTGGCCATTCTCCTGCCTCAGCCTCCCCAGTGCTGGGATTACAGGTGGGTGGGTGCCAGCATGCCCACAAGTCCTAAAGGGAAGATGAAAATGCTCCTGAGTTGCCAGGCGTGGTGGCACACACCTATAACCCCAGCACTCGGGAGGCTGAGGCAGGAGGATCATTGTGAGTTCAAGACTAGCCTGGGCTACAAAGTGAGTTCAAGGTCAGCCTGAACTGCATAGTGAGACCCTGTCTCAAAAAGACAAAAAAAAAAAAAAAGAAAGAAAAGAAAAGAAAGTGCTCCTGAGGTGGACAGAGGTGGCAGGTGCACACAGTGGAATGTGCTTCACGCCACAGAGCTATCCACTTAATAGCTGAATGGGAGCCGGGCATGTTGGCACACGCCTATAATGCCAGCACCCTGGGAGGCTAAGACAGAAGAATTCCAAATTAAAGCCCAGCCTGGGCAACTTAGTGATTTAACGAGAACTTGTCTCAAAAAAAATTTTTTTAAACTTTTTTGAAAGGGCTAGGGATGAAGTTCAGGGCAAAGGCCCTGGGTAAAGTCCTCTATATTGAAAAATAAATAAAATCATAAATGAGTGGAAATTTTTACTTTGTGTCTATTTTACCA